ACAAGTGGTAGCATATTGAATATTATTAAATAAAATTGTTGTGATTTATCGAACAATGCTGTAACTTCCCACCACGAGTCATATATTTTTTGCAGGTTTTGCGACAGCAAAATTCCGATATAAACATTGCCATATATCATCAAAAAAAAAACACAAAACATAGACATGGAAATCTTATCGCCATGAGAATGTTAACAATCTTTTAGTCCTGTGCTTTTATTGATAACAGTCTATGTTGAATTGAGTTGAATTATCAACGATTTATTAATTAATTTATGGGGTGCCAAGATAAAAAGGAAAACACACAAAGCCCATTGTTGCTGCCAACAACATGAGACACACTTAAAATTGAGACGACTCTCCTCTCCTCTTGAATGACAAGAGCCAAATGAGAAAAAAATAAACATTATTTTCAAATACCTAGATAAAATTTAGAAACATGAATCACTGCACATTTCGATTTTGGAATGAACGAAAGAAGAAAGAAGTCTTTAAAAATAAATGAATTGAATCATTGAAACCTCAAACAAAGAAGGAAAGAGAGGAGATTCGTTGTCTGTATAAAACTCTCCCTCTCTAATAGAGCTTAACAGTGAATTAGAGAGAGAGAGAGAGGTAGAGAGACTTGACCAAGATGAGCATTGAAAGTGAAGGGTATCAACAGAAAATAAAAAAAAAAAACAGATCAATCTCTGTTTATGGCCATAAAATATTGTCAACAACATCATCGTCGTCGCTTTTTTGGCTTTGTCTCAGCATAACTGCAATAAAGGTCAATGATCAGAGCCAGCCAAAGTCAAACAAACAAAGAAATGAAGATAAAAAACGGTTTTTGTTTTTTCCAATGGCCATGCAGGTGAGAAAGTTGTTGAATGCAAACACTTTGAAGACATTAAATTCCAATAAAGATAACTGTGTTTTCAATAATTCAATTTCGAGAAACTTGCCAACTTATTTTAGATAAGTTTTTGACTTTTTTTAAATTATTTCAAACTATGGCATTAATTTAATTTAGATATTTTTTATGGGAAATATGTATTTTATTTCGAGAATTTTTTGACATAATTAGCTTGAAAACCAGTTAGAAAGCCGAAAATTTGCAAGTCCGTATAAATCAATCAGTGTTATCATGTCTCAGAGGAAACATATGAGTGAAAAATTAATCTTCCAAGTGATTTGTGATATGAAGACATTTTTTATCTGAAAATTAATGCGAAATTTGGGGAGGAAATACTAAAATACAAAAAAAAATATTTAAAACTGAATTTGGAAATATTTAAAACAGAAATTTCCTCTCTTTCTCAAAGATTAGTGGAAAAAATTTGATATGCTAGATTTTCACCTCACTTAAGATGGAAATAATTAAATTAACAATTTAGAAAATATAAGTCGATTTGCTCAAAACATATGGTTCGACCATGGTCGAATTAAGAAGGTAAAGTCAGACAATCATATTCTTACATTTTTTTTTCAAAATTATTCATTGGACAACATGTCATTGGCAAAATTTATATTTATAAATCCATTGTATATTCATAAATCAGAGATGGGAGCTTGTTCTCTATGCAGTGAAATTTGAAAAGATACACATTAGCTCCCATTTGTAATTACTTCTATTCTCTTTTTGTGCCCATCTACGTATGAGTGATAGATGTGTGATATTCATCATGCGCTTCATGTACAACCCTTGGTACACGACTCCTTTTAGCTGTCTTTATACCCTACATCACATAGGGTTAAGGGTATTATGTGCATTTGTTTGTAGCATGGAGAAGGAAGCAAGAAGATCTATAGTTACTTTTGAGGATCTTCATAGAATAACTTTCTTAGTCGATTTATGCATGTCAATCCGTCCGTTCATATGTCCATGTATTTTTGTGAACAAAATGCAGGTCGCATTCATTATCCGATTGAGATGAAATTTTCCAAACCCTATTTGTTTGACCCAATGACGAACCATATTGAGAATCGGCTCAATTTGGATATAGCTCCCATATGTAATTACTTCTATTCTCTTTTTGTGCCCATCTACGTATGAGTGATATATGTATGATATTCATCATACGCTTCATGTACAACCCTTGGTAGACGACTCCTTTTAGCTGTCTTTATACCCTACTGGACTGAATGGACTGAATTTTGGCACTTTCGACTGTATACATCCCGGAAACAAGTACTTCAAATATTTGTGAAAATGCTTTCAGGTATTCCTGTAGCTCCCATACATATGTTTCATCCGATTTGGCATTAAAGTCCCTCACATGTGTAATATGCACTCCACAGCAATAATATTTCATACCGGACTTCGATATACATCTTCATCCGATTTTAGGGTTGTTGTCCACCATATATGTAATATCATCCCAAATTGGGTAATATTACAGCTTGAGTGTAATTGTCTGAGTATCGAAGAAAATTTTGAGAGCTTGCCTAATACCCACTGCACAAATTCCAATAAATATATACTTTTTTTAATTTCACGTGGAAAATGATAAGAATACAAGCTTTCTTCTTTTTAAACAAAAATGTAAAATTCTCGTAAAAATTGTTGTAATGAAAACCAAAACGAATGCCACGTTGATAAGGAAACCTTGAAGTATTGCTGTTTTTTTCTGTATTTATTTGTTAACAAAACATAAACCCTACCTAGACATTGGATTTCGTATTACATGGCTGGGTACAAGGTAAGGTCTGATAGGTTATTAAAGGTGTAATTCTATTCATGGTCTTTATGTTGTTTTGCTGTGATAAGCAAATGGAGATTTTTTGTTTTGAAAATCAGTTATATTTTTGTTGTTAGTTTGTCAAGTGTGTTTTTGCGTTTCAGTTTTCATCATAAAATGACAGTTAAAATTAAACGATGATGATAAAATTATCTTTTGCAGATTATCTTTAACACTGATAAATGCTGGTGATAAAAGATATATGATATGCAAAGAAACTAAGCTATTTTTCACTTGTTATTTGTTTAAGAATGTGAGTCAGATGACAAAGTTAGAGAAGAAAAAAAAAATATTTTTGAAGCAGTTAAATCTACAATGTATAATTTTAGTTTAATTATGGTGATTTTAGAAGGAATATATGTATTCCTTTATCAAATAATGGAATATTACAGATATTGCCTTAAATAGGGGAAGATAATGGATTCAATCAAACAAAAGGAAGTTTTATAAAAATAATGTAAAAATTATGGCGTTTGACTTTGTTGTCGTTTTTTTATTTCACCCTGTAGACTTAAGTGGGGAATTTTATGGAGCTTGCGAATTTCAACATTGAAAGCCAAATGGGTCAGCGACATTAATACACTGACCCTATTGTAAGATTTCTCATTATATGTACCTATGCCAATTCAGCAGCATTTTAACAAGTGGACACTGCTCTCCCATTAATTCTCTCACATATTTTGAAACACCTATGATTATCTCTCACTTAAAAAATGAAAAAACGTACATTATTTGATCCTCCCAAAGAGAGAGAGAGAGAGAAAAAAAAAAGAGGGAAAGTAGAGATCATGTTGATTAATTGCATTCATCCAACTAAAAAAAACCATCTGATATCTGGTACTAAATATTATTTTTGTGGAGTGCATATAAATAATTAAAACCCTAAATCGGATGAAACCTATATATGGGAGCTATAGCTATATCTGAACCGTTTTTCTCCAAATTCGATGCACTTGCTTTTTCACTAAATTTGGTCGGGTGTGCCAAAATACAGGTCATTTGTACTGAAATTGACTGCTTTGGTGCACAATTAACCCGAAATCGGATGAAGATATATTTCGTAGGTATATCTAAATTTGAACCGATTCTCACCAATTTCAATAGGGTTCTTTCTTGGGCCAAACAAATATTGTTTGGAAGATTTCATCTCACTCGGATAATAAATGCGACCTGCATTTTGTTGTATAAATTGCATATTGCATTAATCGACTCAGAAAGTGATTCTATGAAGATCCTCTATCTCCTTCGCCATATTACAAACTCATGCACAAGGACATAATACCCTTATCACTCTGTGGTGTAGGGTATAAAGACAGGGTTGTTTAGATAGCGTTTGATGAATATCACACATATATCACTCATACGTAGATGGACACAAAAAGAGAATAGAAATAATTATTCCTTTATCAAATAATGGAATATTACAGATCTTGCTTTGAATGGGGGAAGTAAATGGTTCAACCAACATAACGAAGTTTTCAGTTTTCTTTGTTGTTACAACCGATTTGAAGACAAAGCTTCAAATATTTCTCAGAAAACAAAGTAAATTCCCGCCCTTTTCGGAATCTCACATCAAGTTCCGGGTATTGGATAATCATTTGTTTCTTTCTTTCGAATTGCAAGTGGAAAACCAATTATCCGTCCAGCAAATATTTACTTGCCATCATTAAGTAATGTTGACTTAATTTTATTGAACACATCGCCCCTAATCATAAAATTTTTAAAGAAAAAAAAAAAAACATTTGCCATAGGGTTTTACGTAAATCGACTGTCAAAGGTGGTGATGGTGGTAATTTCATATTTCGATACCATAAAATTCGAAAAATGTCGTAAAGATAACAACAAAACGAGGCAGCAAACGTATCAAAGGCTACAAGCGTTATGAGTGCGTCAGTGGTATTGTAAGACAGCAACAGCATGAAACTGGAAATATTTGCACAAAAAATAAAACGCTGGAATAAATAGCAATTGAAAAAACCGCAAATACGCTGAAAAGCCAAAGCCGTTTCATTTATTTCTTTGGGCTAAATATAGAAGACAAAGGAGACCCCCCTCCTGGCCCAAAACTGAAGATTCTTTGAAGAGGAAACAAAAACGAATTCGGCTCAACAAATTTTAAACAAATGGCATGTTTAGCTGATATCAAGGCAAGACAAGGCAATCTTATCTCTCAAATTTAGTGGAGTTGTTTTATTTTTGATATTTATTTTGTTATATTTTTAATGGCATTTAAATGTAGGAACGTTGTTGTTTTTGCTTGTGTGTGACAGGCAGTACCTAAATTGGCTATGAGCTGGGATATACTGCGACGATGACGCTGGGGGAATACACGCAGCAGGCCATTATCACCACCAACATCGGCATCATTATCCACAGTTGGTGTTGTTGTTGTTTTTGTTGCTGCCGCTCGGTTATCCATTCTGACTGGCAGACTTAGAGGTAGTTGGATTTCTTACTTTTGTTTTCTTATATTTTTTTTTCTTTTACTCTTTTTTTCTTATTTTCTATTTGGGTTTTCTTGTGCACTGATTTGTCGAAGATGTGAAATGTAAGGGAATTTTTTTGCATTTCTTTTTTTCTCTTCAAAATTTCACTTTTGTGAAAGGTATTCACATAATTTTGGCAATATTTTAGGCCATGATACATTAATGACAGCCAATGGCAACTGATGTGGATAATATTTGCACATTTTCGTTTTTTCGTTTTCAAAACACTTTTTTTGCATTAATATTTCAAACGCCGAATACGATCAAACGTCACGATTCCAACACGCGGCCTTTAAGACGTTGGTTGTTCTACTTTTTTGCATTATTAAATTTCTTGGTATTTATTTTTCCTCCTTTTTTTGCTTAACGTAAAATACCCATTGGAAGCCGTTGTGTTCAAATCATCACGTCAATAAAAGTACGACCGACCGACCGCCGACCGATATCGTCATGTATTTCGGTACGTGGAACCGTAGTAATTTTGCAGAGTAACTGCGAAATGACAAACCACCGTCAACGAACAACGCCACCACCGCAACTGATCGTGTCGCTGTTGCTCGATCGAGTACTTCACCACACTCTAGCCAGGCCAGGCCGTCAGCAACACAACCTCTCGCAAAGAACTTCGTTTTGTTAATAATATTAACTAAAAATAACAAAGCCGCCGTACAACAACAAATCTGGCTAACAAAACAAATGCGAAGAAAAAGAGTCAAGAGCATACAAAGTCACACAATCATCAACAACTCCCCGTAAACCACATTCGCAGAAAACAGTCAGAAAGACAACCACACACATTCACGCACACACTCGCACACACAGAGACTACAATTAAAATAAACCAAAAACACAACGGCCATCAATGATAAACAACAATAGCAACAACAACAACAATTAACACACATAAAACGTTAAAAACAAAACATCAAGCAAAATTCCATGGTAAACGCAGCCACAAATGAGTACACCAACCATTATTTCAATTGAACAACAATTCTCACTCTCATTGGGGCTTATTCTCAGTTTCTCTCTCTCTTTCGCAGGCCAAAGTTAACTGTTTTAGAATTTGTATTTGTTTGCAATATGGTGGCATGGCAAGCAAATGTTTTGGTTTGTTATGTTTCGTAGTCTCTTTGGCTCCATGGTGTGGTGGTTTATTTACTCCCTCTCTCTCACGCTCACCCACAATTCTCCCACCACTCAGTAAAGGTAGATTTACTAAATTTTTACATATTGCAGGTGAATGAGTGTTCGTGCTTGGTTGATAGCCTAGTAATGGAGCAGCCACGCACCTCTAAATTATCGGAAATTAAACACACAAACTGATTGATTATTAGCCAACTCAGTCACTCACACACACGCACACTAACACACATTTAAAGACCATATTCATATAACGGTTTATCATTAAATAACTCTATCGATGTGCATTTACGTTTTATAGGCTGGCCGTTGTTTACAAAACCCATTCGACTCACTTCAATTTTTGTTTTTACAAAGTCAATAGAAATGGGGAGGGAGGCTAGGGAGGCCTTCTAAATTCGGTTAATAGCAGCATTTAATGGCATTTTTTGATGGGGTAGGGGGTAGGAAGTAATGTTTATACGTATATGGTTAGAAGTTACTAGAGAGGGTCATTACAGCTAAGCTGAGTTCCCTCACGAAACGCGTTAATGCGTGAGTAAAACTCATTGTAACACAATTTTTATGGAAATACCCTGAGGTGGGAGGTAAGTATTTGCGATGGGGAAGTATTAATGGCAAATTTGTAAAATATTAAGTAATAAAAACAGTTTTATTTAAGAAAGTTTCAATGTATTAATTTGGAGTTACGCGTTGTTACATTTCATTAGCTTTTTTCAGAAGAAATAACTTCAAAAGAAATATCTTAAAGCTGCTATCAGACGATTTGATATGTGTTGTCACTTTTATTATCCTTTAGTATGCCAAAATTATCATTTAACATATGACTCATAATTCATGCTTTCACACACTTGCATATGTTACACCATATAGTGGTAAGGATATTATGTCTTTGTGTATTTGTTTGTCACATGGCGAAGGAAGCGAGATAGACCTATAGTTACTTTAGAGGATCATTATAGAATCACTTTCTGAGTCTATTTATGCATGTCACCAAGTCCGTCCGTCCTTGTGAACAAAATGCAGGTCCCATTTGTTATCGGATTGAGATGAAATTTTCCAAACAATATTTGTTTGGGCCCAAGGACGAACCCTATTTAAATTGGTGAGAATCGGTTCAAATTTAGATATAGCTCCCATATATATTTTCAACCGATTTCAAGTTAATTGTGCACCAAATTGCGAATATCAGTTCAAATTGCCTGAATTTTAGTACGCCTTTCCGAATTAAGTCTAGAATCAAGTACCATCAATGATCTTTGGTACCAGATATCAGACACAGCTCTGAAAGAAGTCTACCAAATTTTGTCAAGATCAGTTCAGATTTGGATATTGCTCCCATATATATCCTTAACCGATTTCCGGTTAATTGTGCACCAAATAGCCAATAACCATCAAAAAGTCCTGAATTTTGGTTCATCCGACCGAATTCAGTCTAGAAGCAAGTAAATAAAATTTGGAGAAAATCGGTTCAGATATTGCTATAGCTCCCATAAATATGTTTCATCCGATTTGGGGTTTTAAGACCGTCACATGCGTAATATGCGCTCTATGATCTTTGGTACCAAATCTCAGATACGGATCAGAAATAAATATCTTAAATTTTGTCAAGATCGGTTCAGATTTGGATAAAGCTCCATATATATCCTCGGCCGATTTCGAGTTAATTGTGCGCCAAATAGTCAATATCTTTCCAAATTTTGGCATATCCGACCGAATTCAGGCAGGGAATACCTAGGTTTCGGAAAGGTTTGTCTGGGAGAATATCTAATGAGGATTTGTGGCTTTTCTTTCCGAAACCTAGATATTCCCTGCCTCACCCTCTGGTAAACATTACCAACGTTCTCCACTAATTAACAAACGTTGTTTTAATAAAAACAACAATAAGGGATTAAGCCTGACCATTTGGCAACAACAACAAAAAAGGTCTTAAATATCTTTAATCCGATTTCAGTTTTATTGTGCAAATAAAAGCTAATATCAGCCCAAATGAAGTGAATATCGTGGCGTACGTTTATGTATGTTTTTTAATATAACCCTTCTCATCCACTCTATAGCAATGTTATTTGGTATATTTTCATTTTTTTCATAGGCAACCAACCCTATTATTTTAAGTTGTTTACAAAAGAGATTAGTAAGAGGTTTATCTAAATTATATTTAACTTTAATAATTTACAGTTGTTTTGGGTGCTAATCGATGTTCAATATATATTTTTTAAAGTGTTCAAATCTAATGGTCTTATCATGAACAGGAAATGAAGTTCGCTAATCAAAGATACACTGTGGTTTAACTGAGCATTATAGGTAAGTAAGTATATATTTTGGTTTACAATTTATTTGGTTAGTTAATTTAAATCGGATTGTAACTATCTATAAATGGCAACAATATACCTTGAGGGTACAGACAATAACCTTTTTTATGTAGAAAGCATGTAGCTGAATATTAAATTGTTGAAATTGATTAATTTGTCTAAAACAATTTAAAAAATTTTCCACCTTCCGCTCAATTTTGGAGCCAAAGAAGACATATGTTTGCTTACACTTGTTGTAAACATAAAAGGGCTTCCTTACGGAAGTAATAGTTTTTAGCCCACAATAATCCCATATAAGATAAGACTTTAAACTTTTAATCGCCCTAATCCAAACAATAAAAACCCCACCAAAAAAGGCATAAATATTTATTGGACTTCTGCCATTTTCAACCTTTCTCACCTTGAGAAAATCCACAGAATGTCTTCCTTTCGTGTGGTAGACCTCTTCTCTTTGACTTTGTTTTAAAGTTTAACAAAAATAATTAATCACCGACAACGACAATTCTTGACTGTAATCACCTTCACCTTGCCATTTGTTTATGAACTTGGGTTAATTATTTTAACCCACACCCAGCCCTCCCCACACAATTGTTAACGGCAATGTGTAAGTATGCGTGATATGTAAATAACAATTTTGTCACTTAAATAACGAAAAAAAAAAACAACGAAGAGAAAAATAAACAATTGATGAAAAGACAAACAAACATACATTCATATACAGGGTGAGATGAAAAAATTGCAACCAACTTCAGACTGCTGTCATTTCTAAGCCACTCGTCCGACAGCTGTTAAAATTATTCCAGTGACAGCTTATTATATTGTTTAAAGCAAAAACATTTTGGTGAGAATTTTCCAAAAAAAAAGGTATTCGTGATGGAATTTAAGCGTGATCGTGTGATTTCTTTATATTTGTCTGGAAAACTACAAGTGGCTATCTTTAGAGCACTCCAGCATTAAAATGTGAATAAATCTTTTGTGTCTCGTACCATCGCTCGTTACCGTTATACTGGTAGGGTAGCCCAACGCCAAGGAAGTGGACGGAAGAAAGCAACATCAACATCAGCAGAAATGGCTCAAAAAGTAAAGAAGCGACTTGATCGAAACACATCGCAGTGGCCGAAAAATGGCTCGAAAGCCAAACATATCGCAAAAATGAGCTCGGGGTAAAGCCATTGAAATTACAAAAAAGTGCACCGCAACAAAATCAGAAAGAAAATAGACTCAAAAGAGCTAAAGAATTGTTTCGCTTGGACGAAAGTGGTGAACTGTAGAATTTGGTTTTCTCCGATGAGAAAATATTCGTTGTCCAGCAATTTGTAAACAAACAAAATGATCTGCTCATGTTTACTTGCCAAAGAGGTCAGCTGAAAATGTGCACCTTTAGTTGGCCACCAGAACTCAAGCGCCGGCCATGGTGATGGTGTGGGCCGCCATAACAGCCGATGGTCGCTCTCCGCTCGTATTAATCGACCGTGGCATCAGAATAAATGCCGAATGTTATCGCGAAAATATTCTGGAGGGAGTATTAAAGCCTTGTGCACGCAAACATTTTAGCCGCAGATCTTGATCTGCGCTCAACACGCGCCACCCAAAAATGGTTAGGTGAGGTTCCTCGCTTCATTTCCAGTGCATAATAGCCACCAAAATCTCCGGATACCAATCCGTTGGACTATTGTGTCTGGAGTATTTTGGAAAGCAAGAATGACACTAAAAAATACCAAAGTGTCGATCACATCAAGCAAGCGCTTCGCCGGGAATGGCCCAAAATACCGCAGAGCAACATTCGGGCAGCGTATGACAGTTTCATTGGCCGTTTGAAGGCCATAATTGGTGCCAAAACTGACCAATTCGAACAAATCTAAACTTATTCTAGAATTTGATGCTATTTCCGACATTTTTTGCATTCATTCAATAAAATTAAAAAAAAATGTAAAAATTATGGCGTTTGACTTTGTTGCAGCTTTTTTATCTCACCCTGTATACATATGTAAATAGGTCTATACTTACAGACATAAAACAAAAAGTATGCCAAGTATATTTAGTTACAAAAATATTCAAATGGTTATTCCACCCCTTGGGTGGAAGTTAGTTCCAGCTGTTGTTGTTTTACCGAAAAAAATGCTTAATATGGCAATATTTTATAAAAATTTCATTTCAGCCTAATTCGTAAAGTTTTTTGCACATTTCAAGAACTTAAAATTTTAATTTAAACGAGAATAAAACGACATTATTTATATTTTTCCTTTATGGCCAAATCGGATTTTCAAAATAGGGCTTAAATGTGGAAGTTCCGTCATTAATCTAACCCAACTTGTCCATTGCAAACAGCATCACAAACAGAATATACCATGCATCCCAATTTCCCCAATCATCAGCAAGAAGCATAGGAATCACATAATAACAAATTTGTTGCCTACTTTTAGGAGCACCAATTTTTGCCTTTGTAATTATAATTACAAAATTTACATAACTAACTAGGTTGCTTAGAAAAGCCACGTTTTATACAGATTTTGTTTCGATTTCAATTTATGTACATAATTAATCATTAATAAATTCCTATTCTAAAATATATTAAACTATTATTGTTATAATATCCATAATTATCGCTTAGAACAAGAACTCACAAGGTGTTTTTCCACTTTTTCAAAATGTATGTTTTGACCATGGAAAATACATAAAGTTGACATCATCGCTGGAAATACCGCAGTTTTTGGAGTTAGTTTTAACAAACTCTTTAATTAATTGGGAAATAAACAATTTTATTTAATTTCACTAACTATTGTTTTTTTATTTCAAAAATGCTTAAAATATTTATGTTGCACATTCCATAACCAGTCCACCACCACAAATATTTTAGTTATTTTAAGTGTCCAACCTTATGTTGTTGTTTTTTTTCTTTTGTGGCAGCACTCGTTTTTTTTTTTCGTTGAAAGTCAATGTGACGTGGGGCAATGATGATCAGCTGCTTTAACCGAACAAAGCATGTTGCCTCAACGCCACATAAAAAAAACTTGATTTCAAAACAAGCCCACCAAAGGCATTTTCTTTGCTTCTCTTGTCTTTTATTCACACTTGCACACACACACACGTTCGCACAGAGACATAAGCACTTGAAATAATATTGAAATATTTATAATTTAATAAATAAAAATAATAAACCTCAGCAATCTGATTTTGCTGTAAGCAATACATAGAGGGAAACATGTCCCCCCTCTTTGTCTCTTCTCCGCCACCCTCCACATTTGTTTTGTTGTTATCGCTGAATCTCAGTTTGAGTCTGTCGTCAGAGTTGTATGGCCAATGTTTACTCAACACAAACCCTGATCAATGCAAGAAATACATAACACAAAAGGCAAACAACAATTGATTTAATTTCATCGTCCATTGATGTGACCTTAAATAGCTTTAAAGGCGCCACTTCGCTTAAATTTTTAGTAAATGCCACAATTTTTGGTGGCCTCAATTGTTTCAATTTGCTGTTTTCATTTTATTAAACATTCTTTTAATTACTCACTTTTTTCAAATAACTTTACTGCCTCATGACTTGGTACCCCTCTTTTTTTATTAATTCTATTTATTAATTTTTAATATCTTTTCTTGAATTCAATTTAGAAAGGTTTTCTTCACACAATAACTAAACCACGATGATTTCGAGCACATTAATACACCTTCCCGTCTCCACACACCGATCGCATCGCATTCTTTCTAAGTTCAAAAGCCCGATTGGCAATTTCTTTTCTCCGGCTTGGTGTGTGCACGCGTCCGTTTTCGATTTGTTTTGTATATTTACTGGTCGCTGTGTGACTGACGACTTGAATCTGAAAAATATCCAAGAAAAACCTCAATGTGCGATCCGCTCTCTCATATGCCTTCTCTTTTTGGTATTCTCTTGTTGATATTTTCAGTTTGAAATCTTGAAAATCAACCACCACTTTTCAGACCACAAGATGAGCTTTTTATCTCTCACAGTAGACAGATAGATTGGAATTGCTCCGGTCAGTCAGTCCCTTGGTAGTATTTGTGCTTTCGGCGGTCAACTAAAAATGTATGACTGATAAGAAATTGAAAATATAACCGGTAAACTGTGCGCTATTTTCAAATTTATTTATAAATCAGATATCATAATTGGTTTTTTTGTGAAGATTTTATTAAATATTTTAATTAAGGGGGAGCGTCACATGTTGTCATTATGGGCACAGTGGGGATAAAAAATTGTAGTTATTAAAAAAATACTAGTTTCGGTTTTGATACAAAATTTAGACCTAGCCCAAGGTAGGACCTATTAGGTATTATGCCAGATGTTTCTGAACAATACAGGGTGAGATAAAAACAAGTAAAAAACATTAAATTCGGCAGGGTCGAACTTTTAATACCCTCCACTTTAGGGTAAAGGAAACATTAGAACCCATTATGACCCACAAATTCCAATTTTTAGACAAATTCATGGGAATATACCAAAACGTGGACCGATATATCTCATTTTCAATACCAACCATCCTAGATACAATAAAAATTGTTCTGCTAAATTTTGACGCTCTACGTCAAATAATGTGGGCTGTGTATCGTGATTTCAACAGACAGACGGACATCGTTAAATCGACTTAGAAGTTTATGCAGATTATGAATATTTTATTTTCAAATGTTATTGAATGAAAGCAAAAAATGTCGGAAATAGCATCAAATTTTAGAATAAGTTTAGATTTGTTCGAATTGGTCACCTTTGGCACGAATTATGGCCTTCAAACGGCCAATGGAGCCGTCACACGCTGCCCGAATGTTGCTCTGCGGTATTTTGACCCATTCCCGGCGAAGCGGGGGAGGTGATCGACACTTTAGTATTTTAAAGTGTCAATCTTGCTTTCCAAAATACTCCAGACAAAATAGTCCAACGGATTGGTATCCGGAGATTTTGGTGGCCATTGTGCGCTGGAAATGAAGCGAGTAACCTGTCAAAACCAAAATAAAGCAAATCTTTAAAAATTCGAATGAAAAATGCCGAATAAAAAAATTTTCTGCGATCATTTAAAAAAAATCACATATTTTTCTAAAGTTTAGCCAGAAAAAAATTACTCATTTTTTTTCTCCCACTGTGGCTCATTAATCCGTGTTGATATATTATTTTGTAATGCTCCGGAACATCGTAAGCAATGACAAAGCATTATAATCCTGTTTCTGTATGACGATACGAAGGTGAACTCGAATCAAATTTCGAATTCTCTGAGTATTTTTTAAACTAAATAAAAGTTACAAATGCAAGAAATGGGTTTTTGGAGTCTACAGATTCGTCATATAAAAAGGCCGTATATATTACTTTTCATTTCTTAAAATATTAAAACAAGACAAAAGTATTTGAAAAGACAGAGGGTAATTAAAAAATTGTAAAATTAACCTTTATAAATCTACATAAAGCATAAATATTTATCAGTCCTACAGGCTGATAATATACTTGTATCTTATTCTTTAATATGAGGGGAGATACTTGCACCTTGGTTGCCTAACCCATAACATCGTATAATTAACAATAACCACTCGTATTTTATTTAATTAACTTCATTTTAACTTTATTTGTTTTTTATTTCTCATTTATCTTTGTATTTTTTTCATGCTTTCTATTGTAATTCATGGAAATTCTAATTAAGAAAACATATTTAAAGTTCTTAGGAAAAATAATTCATAGTTTATAAATTATAAAAACAACGGTAGAGAATGTTGGTTGAGTTAGAGATAAACAAAATCAACTGATATATATATAAAGTGCTTTATTCTAAGTGTTTTATATAACTTAACTAGAGACTATTTATAAGCGGTTGATTTTGAAATATTGTTGTATTTTAGCTTTGTGGAAATTATTGTTGTTGTAAAACTTAATCAAATTTCACGGCTATTTCATTACACATATTGTTTTATATTAATTAATGTATATATATATTCTTTAAACATAGTGGGTGGTGGTGGGCATAATGTGAGGGGGTAGTAGGTAATGTCTAACACAAAATTGTTAACGTAATTTTGAAAGTAGTTCCAAACATTTTTGTTTTTCATTTATTTTTTAAATCTTTCGATTATGTATGACGCATTCCATCCATATTACAAATATATGTATGTACGTATGTGTATAATATTCAATACGTATAGCCTTAAGGAGGTAATTTTATTTTGTATATATGTATACTCTATATATATATCTCGAAACAAATAAATATATGTTTATATAAAATATTTGTAACCCCGGCTTTACAAAAAAATAAAATCATAAAAATAATAAAAATGTATAAATATTTCTAAACTTATTTAATGTTTTGTTGTTTTTTTCTGGTTGTTTTGTTTTTTTTACATAAAATTCAATGTATAATATTTTTGTATATAGTGGTGTAATATTCTCTCAAATACAAAAATATCATTAATAAGCGTTTTAGACTTGTTTTCTAATTTATGTAAATATTTGTCTTCAAAAAGCTGGGCGCACAAAAGGCCTGGCTTGTTTTGATTTGACTTTGAAATCAAAAACTGGTCTTTTTAGAGCCTTGCATGTTCACGTTTGACTTGTGAAAAGCTGTTGCTCGCTTAAGCTTCGCTTAAATCACAACAATTTGTTCGACTCTCCTCGTCCAGTATTAAACTATCATCGACAGCTTCAGTGTCGCTGGGATTCATGCCACCATGTGGATGTGGCGATGATGAGCTTTCGCCACAATTGGTTGCATAAACATGTGGTCTCTGTTGATTCGAATCATCTGTATCGGGATCACGTATGGAATTGAAAGCATTTCCGGAATTGGCATTTGGTGATGAAATTTCATCATTTGGAGGATATACATGACGGTGATAACTACCACCTGGCATGGCATTGCCATCACCCTCTAACTCAGCATCCCGAACACTGCCAAAAACTGGCGTGTGTGATGAACTTTTACGCATACTTGTGGGTGGAGACCACACCGTCTGGTAGAGGGGTGAGGCAAACACATACATGTGATTTAAGTATTCCATATCGTAAGAGGGCTGATATGAATCCGATTCCAGGGGATTGTAGTACTGCGAAGTTGATGGTTGATGCATTGGTGTCTGGCGACAGCTATAAGGACCTGATCCTCCTCCCGTATACTGTGGTGTATCATAGTTCTGTGATCTGGTTGAGGAGAGCAGAGGATACGAGGATTGCATGCCCGTAGGTCGTGGTGGCATTGTGGCATAAATTCCACGATATGCTTCAAATGGCGTTTGTGGATAATAGGCATCTGACCACCGTATATGACTTGGAGTAAAATCACCTTTGGCATAAAGCTGGAAATAACAAATTGAAGAATATTAGATGTAAAAATCGCATAAGATGAAAATGCGGAGTGATATATAAAAGCACGCTAATATGAAAAAGAAATGTTGGAATAAGGTACTGTTTTTTGTATGACGATTGCAAAGAAAAACGCCATTCAAAAATATGAATAAATCATTTGGAATGAAGTATTTCTTTCCAATCGTTATACAGATCTGATACTAAGTGCTTTTGGATATCTAGTATAAAATATACTTCATGAAACAATATTAAAATTTTAAAGTGTCATAATAGGGTAAGTGTGCCTAAGTTCGGCATATCCCAGTAGTCGGCACTTTTTATTTTTAAGCCCAAATAAATGAAACTATTATAACTAAATGTATTTTGTTTACTGCAAATATATTGTCAGCTATCTTTGTGCACAATTTCGCTAAGAAAAGATGAATTATTCTAATAAAAATTAAATTTTTGTCTGTGGTGGTCCTCAACAATTAATATTCTTAAGAAAAGTACAATAATGACGTCGAATCAGTTTAACTAAACAAAAATATTATATTTTAATGAATTAATTTATTATTATTATTAATTATTCTTACAAAAAAAATTGGTATGCCGACAGTTGGAAAATGTCATACCGACAATTGGCAAGGGGTGCCGACTACTGGCAAAAAAGCATTGTTTTAATAAAAGTACAAATTTATAAAATTTAATAAAAAGTTATTAAAACTTTATTTATTATTTCAAAAACTATACAAAATTTCGAATTTGAATAAATTAACTTTGTAATAATTGAAATGTTCCACTCAGAATGGTGAGAGATTAAAAACACAAAAATCCTAAAAGTGCCGACTACTGGTACACTTACCCTATGTCTTATCTCTGGCCATGGCAGCGGAGCTATTTTATAAACTAAAAGGTAGCTCATAAATTTTTTATCTTAAACCTTCCATTTCTTTAAAAATTTCTTATACGATTTATACGGCCCAACCTATTTCACTACAATTTCCTTATTCACCCTTATCCTTACCTGTATAGGTCGACTGAAACCTTTGCTCAAGTGTTTCGGTATGCCCAATGTATAGCTGTGACTGAAACCAACTTCAGAACTCAATAAATACTCATGGAATTTGTTGGGGAAGAATTCAATATTGTTGTAATTGTTATAGATTTCCTCCTGAAAAAGAAAAAAATTAAAAAGTTAATAAATTATGTCACATACCCCCCCATCCAAATATGTCACAACTCACCGTTAAATTCTTCTTTTTCTTATAGCTAGCCCAATTTTGTGCCTCCAAAATGAGTTTGCCACCCGGCCTCAGTTGATTGAACATCCGTTTAAAGGCCATTTTCAAACCGGCATCACCAAAATTCAAATGAATCCATTTGGTAACCGATAAACATAATATGAGATCATATTGCTGCGTATCATTGGCCAAGAGATTTTCATCTTTGAGTATATAATTCGTTTGACGAAAGAAAACATTTTGGGGAAATTCATTTTTCAAATTCGACATTTGTGTTCGAACATTGGTCGAAGAATTTTGGCTGTTCTGTTGCTTTGCACCGCCGCCGCCACCACCACCACCACCACTTGCTGGGTGTCCAGGTGTACTTTTGGTCGTAGTACTTACACTGGTTGTGGTCGAGGCAGGTGATTGAGATTCTAGATTTTGGGGGCTAGCCATTTTTGCTGAGGATTGGGTTATGCCACCATAGCACAGGGGAAATGATATGGGAAAGAATTCTGTGGCATCAAGTTTGTTACCGACTTGCTCCGTCGTTGCAGCGCCATGCGGATGGTGATGGTGGTGGTGATGATGATGGTGATGATGATGATGGTGGTGATGTGGATAATGCATAAGGTGGTGATGTTGGAAGTGGCCCCAATTCATGTTGTTGCGTTGCTGACTTATGTCCGTTCGATTCTTTTTCTTTTTACGCCTACGTCTTCCCGCCTTGAGTTTTACGTATTTGTCTTTATTTTTAACATCTGCTTCGGGAACTTCAACGTTTTCCTTTTTCCACGTCTCCACCGGTATGCGAACATACATTGCCAGATTTCTTCGCGCCCTGGCTATTAATTCTTTGTCTATATCAATACCCAAAATAGATTTGGGTGCCAATTTCCTGGCCACCGATATGGTCATGTGGCCAACATTACAGCCAATGTCCAGAATGTCTTTGTTCTTGAATAATTCCGGATATTGCATGAAAACTTGCAGGCGAATATCCATGAATTCATTTAAGTGTCTCAGACCAGCATAGCGATCATAGTTGCCATATCGATATTTGCTGCCGTCCGGTAGAAATTTGGGTTTGATGCTTTTGATGGTGGACACGGTCATAGAATCCATTTCCTTCTTGACATTTTCGGCCAATTTTAAGGCATTGCTGGCATCGCCTGTTTCATTCAAAAGGTCTGCCATATTGTCGCCCTCCCCAGCATTTATGGATGTGCCACCCGAAGCCGTACTCAGAGGACTACCAAGCAGAGCACTAAATTCTGATGTGGAATCTACCTTCATCAAATCGGGTGTGTCATCACGGGGTATTTCTGCAAAATAAAATCAAGGTTAATAAAAATATAACTTGAAAAAGTAGCCTCCGACTTACCCTCCACCAAAGCTTTGGCATTTTCTTCCACAGGACTTAGGTCTGCGGTGTTACTTTCGCTTATCGATCTGGAACGTCTGTTTGAGGATTTACGTGCACCCGAGGCTGTTGTTCTCGGTGGCCGTTTCCAAGCACCTGGCTGTGGTACAACGGGACTGACAATTTTGTCCATGGAATCATTGCGAAAATATTTCTAAACAGAAAAAGATACATTAGTTAAGACCATTCGTTAGACCCCAATATGACTCTCAACTTACCTTGGACTTTTGGGAATTGTTGCTCTCACTGATTTTACGTTTCCTACCGCCTCCACCACAACCTGTACTACTAACCACAGAATTGCCACATGAGTTGCTACCTGTGGTGGATATCAAATCCAAACGTAAATCTCGACATGCGCGCTCTCGAAACTCTCCAAAACTAATGGCTGTGGTGGTGGTGCTAACACTGCCAACCATACCAGCACCACTACTATCCATTGGCTCCTGTGCCAGTTGTGTTACGGGTGTCGGTGTTGGTGACTTGGTTTGTTGGCTCGTTGTATCCACATCAATATTGGCGACCTTTGTGTCAGCAGTGTTGTGTGAAAGTGAGAGCTGCTCTTGTGGTGAACATAAATTACGCTCTGGCCTGTCATTGTCGTCGTCGTCGCCACCACTACTACTGACGCCACCTTCGTTGTTTTGGTCTTGGCTTTTGTTTTCTGCCTCCAATGAAACCGAAAGCAAACCCTTTTCAGTTGATGACGAGGCATTGATCAGAGCACTTGGTGTAATGTCGTCGAGCGCATCTCCCAGAGTGCTGGTGGTCGAATTGCAAGAGTCATAGCGTTTACGTTTCGGTTTGCGATTCTTGCGATGGCGATGTTTGTGCGCTTTGCTGTTTTGAGCTCCACGGAGACCCAAAATGATGGCGCCACCCACACCGGCTGAGGGTAAACCCAAAATACCTCCACCAACACCACCGACTACGGCCCTCTTCATGGGCGAGGTTAGTTGTTTTTCATATTCCGTTGAGTCCACAGGATCCAACAGATGCAATGGATCGTGTATATTGGGCGGTATAATAACCTCTACCTTGGGCGGTGTGGTAATTGGCGATTGCCGTGGCGTGGTGGCCGGTGTGATTTTGATTGATGTATCGCCAGTTTCATTCTGTAGTGAACTCAAATTCAGCGGATCCGATATATTGCCTCCCAAGAGAAATTTTGTGGGCGGTATAAAATTGCCCTTTCGTGGCCTTTTGTCCGGCAAAAAGAACTTGGAACGTATGCAACAAAATTGTATTGATGCCGATGAATTGTTGGGGTTGGAGTTGTTGTTTAAAGCTTGATTATCCTTGCCCATGTGGCTGCCACAGCCATTTATGTGACAGCAGGACAAATTATTGGCATTGACGCCAGAACCACTGCCGGCATTGTTTCCCACGCCTGAACCCATTGTATTGTGTGCCGAACCAGCACACAGAATGTGATGATGGTGATGATTGTGATTGTTATGGCCGCCGCCACCACCACCTGCAGCACCGCCTCCTCCTCCTCCGCCGCCACCACCACCGCCACGATGCGATGGCAAAGGCTTTTTATGCAATGGTTGTTGCTGTGTCTTTAAATGGCCATGACCATAACCCAATTTATCGGCCGATGATAATGACAAGCCTAAACGGTTGTCATTAGGCGGCATATTTCCAATGCCACCTCCGCCGCCGCCGCCACCAGGGCCATGGTGATTGCTGCTGTAGTGCGGATGCGGATAATTGTGATAATAGTTGTGCCCTTGATTTTTCAAATTTTGAATATTTTCAACATCGGCTTTGGTTAAGCCGGGCTTTTCCTCAGCCATGGATTGGACATTGGGCGGTGAGGATGGATTGTTTGTGGTGGCAGCGGTTTGGGGACCACAACTGCCGCCGCCGCCACTGCCGCTGCTGTTGCTGGAACCAGTATTGTGTTTGGCAGTTCTGTTTTGGCGTTTATTCCAGCATTTGTTCTTTTTGTTGTTATTGAGACTTGAGGCGTTGGCTGTGGCAGTTACTGTTGCTGTTGTTGTCGCTGATGGCGTTGACGTTGAAGAGGAAGCTTTCTTATGTTTAACAAATTGTTGTGGTGCACGAAATTGATGATGTTGCTGCTGTTGTTGTGATTTTAATTTATTTGTTGCCAGGGGCATTGAGGCAGATGTCGGTTTTCCTTCCATATCGACAATTGCTGCTGCTGTTGCACCCTCAACTCTCTTATGGTCCGCCAGGTTGGCAACATGCATAGCAGGACTATTGTTTTCATTGCCCACTCTGGGTGAGAGGTTTTTTGACTGACAATCACCAGGATTGTCAAAATTGCTCACAGTATCCATTTTATGTTGTTCCAAAAAATGACCGAGCTATTGGAAATGCTAAATTACATTTTCCATGCAATGCAGAGCACAGGTATAGCACGGGACTGGGTGTGTGTGTGTGTGCGAACGTTTTAAAGCGTCAACGCTCTAGGTTTTGTTGTTGTTTACTTTTCAAATATTGAGGGAGAATAAATGGATTGCTGAACCTGCTCTCCCTCCTCCTGCAATTGGTTGTTGGTAGGGCTTTCCTTACTTCTGACTTTCAATTATAATCCTTTCAAGTTCGTCGCCGCACGTTCCTTCATTCACTTCCTCCGACGAAGGCAGTGTGGTGTTGTTGTTGTTGGGGAGTAGCCTTATGCAAATGACTGCGTACGTGTGCGTTTTATATGCCCCGCAGTAGTTGCTGAATCCTTTAATTCTTATGCTTCTTGTGTCTTATGAAGATGATATCCTGTGTGTTGTATGAATGAATCTGAAAGTAGGTAGGGAAGAAAGAAAGAAAGAAAACAACATGAGAATGGAGTGGAGCTCTTGGTATGAGAGAAAATGTTGATTATTTATAAAGTTTTATTGTAGCCTGAATTTAAAGTCAGAATACAGAGGTTTTTAATAAATAATGCAAGCATATAATAGCATGAGATGGGAGGGGGATGGGAGGTGAATAGGAAATAAGGAAAGGGAAGCATGTGTGCATGAAGGATCATAAACAACAGATACATGTGTGTGCTCATTTCTCCAGCAATGTTCTACAATCGCTAACATATGCATGCCTGGTTGGATGTATGTATAACATGTTTTCCCTCGTATTGTTTTAATGTTAAGTGGGAAGATAAAAAAAGTTCCGAGAAGGCAGGGGGCTTTCGGAAATTGCACAAATAAATTTGTGAATCCACATAAACCACAAAAACAAATTTAATAATCCTTCCGTAGCAAAAATAATGAAAAAAAAACAATAACCACATCTTACAAATGCAGACATGGCATTCTGGGACAAATACATGTAATTGTGGTTGACAGTTTTTGAAAAATTAATGCTAAAAATATCCGCTCATTGGCTTAAGGCATATCAGGTTATAGTCCTATGTAAAGTGACCTTTTCCACATTTATCTTTATAATTTTTATAGCATACTTTTAGAGGCCTTTTTTCATTGTCTAGGCAATACCTGTTTCTATATGACGATATGTTATGGATCGTCAAAACTTTATTGTGTACAATTGCCTGTTTTTCTCTCAGGATTCGAAAGTGAACTCGCCTAAAGTTGAGGGTACATACAGCTTGGCATCATGGCTAGACATATTAATGTCAAATTATAAAGGGAAACGAAGGCAGAATTTAGGTTAGGCTCTCGTATCCCTTTATGATATATCAAAAAATATGGCATGCGAACACTTCAAGCTGCTTATGTACACACACTCTTAAGTATTTATTTTTATAAAGTATGTCTTGGGGGCATTTCCCTTCCAATTAACTTGAAATCGAATAAAGATATGTTAGCTATATCCAAATCTGAATCGATCTCAATAAAATTGGGCAAAGGTATTTCTGAGCCGCGTTTGATATATTTCCTCGAATTTCGTTGTTACGAAGTGCATATTACGGCCGTGGAGAATAAATATAACAAATCGGATGAACAATATGTGTGGGAGCTATTGCTATATCTGCACCGAATTTCACTAAATTTGACATACTTGTTTTCAGGCTCAATTTGGTCGTAAGTGCCAAATTCCATCTCATTTGGGCAAATATTACACGTTTGGTGCACAATAAAAGGCAAATCGAGTGAAAATATATATGGGAGCTATATCCAAATCTGAACCGATCTCGATAAAATTTAGCAAAGGTATTTCTGAGCTATATTTGATATATTTCCCCAAATATCGTTGTTACAGAGTGCATACTACGACTGCGGAGGACCAAAATATGAAATCGGGTGATCAATATATATGGGAGCTATAGCTATGTCTGATTTCCATCAAATTTTGCATAATTAATTTGGTCGTTTATGCAAAATTCTGATATTACACGTTTGGTGCACAATTAAAGGCAAATCGGACGAAGATATATATGGCAGCTATATCTAAATTTTGACCGATTATCTCCAATTTCAATAGGGTTCGTCTTAGGGTCAAAGAAATGACTTGTGCAAAATCTCATCTGGATCGGGCAAAAAATGCGACCTGCACTTTGTTTACATAAATACATGGACAGACAGACGGATGGACATACATAAATCGACTCAGAATGTTATTCTATGCAGATCATCAAAAGGAACTATGGGTCTATCTTGTTTCCTTTTGCCTGTTACAAACAAATGTACAAAGACATAATACTCTGACCACCTGGTGGTTTAGGGTATGAAAATAAAATTGTGGAAAATTATGAAAAAATAAAACACTTTACATATGACTCTATCATATTTAATCTAGACTTAAATATTTAGCTTTTCACAACATGTTAGAGTCATATGTAAAGAGTCTTTTTTCATTATTATTTATTATTGTTTTTAATAGCATACTTTTAGACGCCCCCAGAATTAGAAAGGCTCTTAGGCACCCCTCACATATTTATGGTGCCCGTATAAATACACGCTATTCTCTTTAATATAAATATATCTGTTGTTGTTTTAATACCTTCCGAATAAATAGGGTAATACGTATTATTGCATGAATAAATACCTCATATGGAGGTCATAGTTATCATTATATCTACATCAACATCCGAGTTGAAAATCACTCTCACAATTTAACCAAAAATACCATAACGCTTCAAATTTTATTAAATATTAATCAAAATTTAAGCGTTTCTCCAAATTGAAATATTCGAAAAGCCTCAGAACGACGACACCTGTTACAAAAACTGTCATATGTTTCTGGTTATCTTTTTTCTTTTCATATTCACATATTTATGTTTCTCCATTAAACAGGGATTTAACTTTAACCAATACAAAACGATAAGCAAGCCAGCAACCCAACAACACCCATCCATCCATCCAATGCCAGGCTTGGGCAAAAGTGTTTAATGTTTGGATGGCTGTGACGGCGGTTGTCCTATCGCTTTAACGAGTTTGCATGTCTAGTGGTTTCAGATGTTTTCAACATAAAAATTACATGGATTGCACACATGGCGGCGGTGACACCTCATAAAAATACAAAAACAACAAACCAATAAAGATAACCACCGGCCAGCCATGGAGGGACAGACAGGTTAGCCATTCAGCCAGCCAGCCAGCAAACGCGACAGACAAAAACATAACTAGGAAACAAAGCGGACACCATTAGCCACATATGTGGTATGGGCACAAAAGGCCGGGATCCTTAACTAGCTTGCTTACATGAACAACTTGACCACGGCAAGACTATGGCGACCAACAAACAAGTTGGGTGGTGGGGGACGACGATGACCGAAGACAAACAATGGGAAAACAGGAACATTTCCCTTACATGCTAGCACTGCTGGTGGGCTGGGCCAATGAGGACTGACTGTCTATAAACTTCATGGTTGATGACATTATAAATAGGATTATCCAGCAGTTAACAGCTAACACAATTAAAGTGTTTCCACTTTCCAAATTAAGTTGAAATGCAAGAAAATGGGATTAAGGTCGGTGGGTGGTGGGGAATTCAATGTGTACCCTTTCCGTGTCTGCCCTCAATATACCACATCCCAATGGATAATTGCCCCAGTTTTGAGACATAATTCATTTAATCTTTTTTTACTGCATCAATATGGATGAAGAGCCATGAACTAACTAACCCATTTATCGACCAAACAATTTCAATTCGAAATTAAATTTTCATTGGAAACACAAATGTTATTATGCTTGCGCTTTGCGACAATAATTCTATTGTTTGTCTTTTTACGCTTTTCAAATCCGTCCCCCTCCTCCTCTTCCCCATTTCTCTCTTTTCATATCTAAATGTCAACCATGCATCACATCACACCTCTCAAAGTTTCTACGAAATAAAGTAACTTAGGAGAGAAGGAAAAAACAACAACGAAAATTCAATTTTCCTATTATGAAAAATCCAGATTGAATGCATCCAGCTCTCGAAAACGCCAAATGCATTTTATTCCAAGTTCGAAGGAATAAGTAACGCTTCGTTAACGCTGTTAGTCAGTCAATCAGGGAGTCAGTCAGTCAGTCAGTTGGTTGGTTGGTTGGCCGTATAATACAGCAGCACTATGGCACGAACGGCGGGGAAAAGAGGAGGAAACAAAAAATAGAAAAAAATTGGAAAACTGTGCTTTTTGGATGACTCTTACGTTAGGTTTCATCGTCGTCATCATCATCGTTTCTTCGTCTTCTTTCTTTCTACTTCACGTTTCATTTCGTTTTATTTTTCTACTCGAAACCCCAATTATTTTTGTTTTCTAAAAAGTTGACTACTACAACAAACTTGTTAAAAGGAAGAAGACGACAACAATAATAACAAGAAGAAAAAAACAACCTAACATTGTAAGGTATTACAAACAAACAAATTTCGGAGCGGCACACACAATCGTAGTCACATAAACCAATTGAAAATTTATTGACGAAGTGAACTTCTGTCGCAGTTTCCATTGTTAGTTTAAATGCGTTAAGAAATTTGTTAAACGAATGAGAGAAAACACGCTAGTCTTTAAAAAGTAGCTATAACAGTGGGCTAGGTAAATATGTATGTGTTCTTATAATCTCTGCCATAGTACGAAGGGAGTATTAAGTTTGCCATTTCGTTTTTAGCATCTTGAAATACAAATTTTTGAACCCACAAAGTATATATATTCTTAATCAGATCATCATCCCGTCTGCATGTCCCTCTGTCTGTGGAACCTCGCCTAGAACTGTTCATATAGGTCAAACTTTGGATGTAGTCCCCAAATATTCGGTATTTTGATGATTTGTGTCACACTTTTCACCGGAACAGTTTCGAATTCGGTATTTGGAGTTCGTAATGGTTGCTACCTCATGCGCATTCACTTTGGTTCTCGCCGCACGGAGTCCTGAAATTTATTCTTGAACGCCTAAAAGTATGCTACAAATATGCAAATTATAAAATTTGATAAAGACGCTTATGTAAATAAAATACTTTAAATATTTTATGAAAATGAAGTAGAACCTTCAAAAAAACCTTGAGACAACCTCTTCCGTTAAAATAGATAGAAGATCCTTGATGCGCATTTACTTTATAGACTGCTTGGGGAGGTCTTTTATTATAAGATTTTTCTGACATGACAATAACTTCCACCAGTATTTAAGAGGACTTAAAAAATCGACTCCTACAAAGAAGAACTTGAAGTTTTTTTTTTTTGGAAAGCTCGTAATATTCCTTCCACCGTTGAAAAAATCAGAAGACTTTTGCTATATCCTTTATGGAATTCATCAAGGGCTCTCCAAGAAAAAGATTATTTTTATACATGAGTATTAAGACTTATTCCGATAGAAGATCTTTAATAGGTTCTTTTATAGAGCGTACGTACGTACGATCCGATT